CAATGCTGACTTATCTCAGAAGTTGAAATTACCAACCACAAAGATCGAGCCCTTTGAGGTACGCGTAGCCAATGGAGAGAGGTTGCAATGCACTGAATCTTTTCGAAAGGTTCCAATCAAGTTCCAAGGAGTCACGGTAAAAGTTGATCTGTATGCTTTACCCCTAGTTGGACCAGATGTCGTACTGGGAGTCCAGTGGCTCGAAGGACTAGGCAAGGTGACGACCGACTATCGAACAGGAGTTATGAAGTTCAACTCCGAAGGTCGTCTGGTCACCCTCAGCACCGGCACTGAGAAAGGAACTAAGGAAGTAGGGTTGAAGAGCATTGAAAGAGTTTGGCGTGGTGGAGGCCAAATTTTTGCAGTAGTAGTCGAGAACATGGGAGCGCACTTGGATTGTGACGAACAACAGCAAGGGGATGTACGCGAGCTTCGCAAGGAGTTTGAAGGGGTACTGGGCGAGCCTAAAGGGCTACCACCGCACCGGGAGTTCGATCATCGCATACCATTGGTTAATGAACAGCATGCCATACATGTCCACCCTTATAGGTACGCTCACTTTCAGAAAACCGAGATCAAACGGCAGGTTGCAGAGATGCTAGAATCAGGACTAATCCAACACAGCAAAAGTCCGTTTTCTTCTCCAGTCTTGTTAGCCAAAAAGAAAGACGGCACGTGGAGATTCTGTACTGATTATCGAGCTCTAAACGCTGCAACCGTCAAGGACCGGTTTCCTATTCCAAGTGTTGATGACATGCTTGATGAGTTAGCGGGGTCGCGATATTTCTCTAAACTCGATCTACGAGCTGGTTATCATCAGATTCGGCTCCACAAAGCCGACATTCCCAAGACAGCCTTTCGTACACACCAGGGACACTATGAGTATCTGGTTATGCCATTCGGCTTATGCAACGCCCCATCTACTTTCCAGTTCGCCATGAACTCTATCTTTAAAGAACATCTGCGTAAGTTCGTTTTGGTATTTTTTGATGATATCCTAATCTACTCAAAGTCGTGGGGCGAACATCTTGGGCATCTAAGGATAGTTCTCGAAATTTTGGAGGCCAACTCATTCCACATCAAACCGTCCAAATGTTCATTTGGGCAGGAGATGGTTGAATATCTTGGTCATTTCATATCACATGACGGTGTGAAAGTCGATCCGCGAAAGATTGAGGCTATGGTCGATTGGCCTAAACCAACAAGTCTCACGCAGTTGAGAGGATTTTTGGGGCTCACAGGTTACTACCGAAAGTTCGTAAAGGATTATGGGACCATCGCTAAGCCACTGACAGCAATGACTAAGAAGGGTGGGTTCACATGGACCGAAGCTAGCGAGGAGGCGTTTGGAAAATTAAAAGAAGCTATGACGACAACGCCAGTACTCGCCATGCCC